AAGAGACAACGGGCTTTCAAAATGTCTGAGGTAGTGTGCGTCACCGGAGCAAGCGGCTGCATTGGCTCTTGGGTCGTCCACCTTCTCCTGCTCCGTGGTTACACCGTCCACGCCACCGTCCAGAATCTCAGTTAGTTTTCTCAATCGATACATCCTAGGGAATTTTTCATTTTCTCAAGATTCCCACTCTGATTTGCAATTGCCAATTTGACTGTGTTTCTGTTGGTTTGATTTCATGTTTGTTGGAATTTGTGTGTTGCAGAGAATGAGAAAGAAATCAACCATCTGGAATCCCTGGAAGGAGCAAAGGAGCGCCTCCGCCTCTTTCAGATGGATCTCCTCGACTATGAGTCCATTGTCGCCGCCATCAGCGGTTGTGCCGGCGTCTTTCACCTCGCCTCTCCCAACAATGTCGATGAAGTTCAAGATCCTCAGGTGCTCTACCATGCGAACATTTAGACCCGTTGTTTTCAAGTTGTTCATCTCGATTAATACAATTTGATTGTTTCTATGAAACACAGAAAGAGTTATTGGATCCTGCGGTTAAAGGAACCGTTAACGTACTCACTGCTGCTAAAGAGATCGGAGTTGGGCGCGTGGTGGTAACTTCATCCATCTCTGCGATAATGCCTAGCCCAAATTGGCCGGCGGATAAGGTCAAGAATGAGGAGTGTTGGACCGATGAGGAGTACTGCAGGCAAAATGGAGTAAGTGTTCTTTCTGTTCCCTTTCATTCTGAATTCTGTATTTTTACTCAATCATCAAAAGAACCGTAGGCTGATTTTTTTTTTTTCCCAAGTCAGTTATGGTATACACTGTCTAAGACGCTAGCAGAGAAGGCGGCATGGGAATTTGCAAAGGAGAAAGGATTGGATGTGGTGGTGGTGAATCCAGGCACCGCGTTGGGTCCTTTTTTCTGTCCAACGATTAATGCTAGTATGCTAATGTTTTTACGCCTTCTCCAAGGTAGTACTCCCAGCAGACAGCTGTTGCAGTTTCTATTCGACTGGGTCTTTCGTCTGTTACTATACTAGTTAACACAATTTCTATTCAACTGTTTCTTCTATAATTTCAGCAGCATATCTGCCCCTCAGTTAATTGTCATGCAAATCAACTTTGCTGCTCTTCTTAACTCACTACTTGATTGTGACATGGTCCAATTTGGTTTATCTATATTTAGCCTATGTTTGGATACAAATTAGGAAAGGAAAGGAAGGGGAAGGGAGACGAAGGAAGGGGAGGAGAAGTAGTGAGGGGAAGGAAAATGATGATATTAGTTTTGTTTGGATAAATGAAAAAAGGAGAGGAAATGAAATTTTTTTTATTTAATTAAATAATTTAATAAAAAAATAAAAAAATAAACATTTTAAAATTTATAGATTAAATAAATAGTTAAAATAAAATATTTATAAATATTTATTTTATAAAAAATTAAAAAAAATAAATTAAATAATATAATTCATTATAATCCCTCCAAATTGGAAGGATTGAAAAATGGAGAAGGGGAGGGACTCCATCTCCCTTCATCTTCCTCCCATCCTTTAAAAGTTTTTATCCAAACAAAAAGAGGGGCTTTCACCCTTCAGTCTCTTCTTTTTTCTTTTCAACTTTCTCAATTCAAACAAAGTGTTAATGAATGGCTTTTTGACATGCACCTCATGTGTCGAAGCTTTTGGTCAATTGTTTATGTTTTGTTGCTTAGCTGGAGAAGTAGTAGAAACTAGTGGGACTAGTGTTGTGTTACTCTCTTTTGGGCATTAATGCTTTGTTTAAGCATGTAAGTCGGATAATTCCGTGCTTTCGGATTCTAGAATGAGTGAGTTTCTTCAAATTGTTTCAGGCTGTGCTGATCCATATGAAAATCTTTTCATGGGATGTGCTCATTTCAAAAATGTTGCCCTGGCACATATTCTGGTGTATGAGAATAAATCAGCTCGTGGAAGGCACTTGTGTGTTGAAGCTATCACTCACTATGGTGACTTTGCATCCAAGGTTGCTGAACTTTACCCCGAATATAATGTGCCAAGGTAATGAGTTCAGCTTCACAGTATGAGATTTTAGCCATTTAAGTTTTTGTGTTTGTTTTTTCCTTTTTTCATTTTTCTTGGTTGAGGAACTAAATTTACTGGTGAGCATATTTGAAATCAAGATGCATCCAGATAACATATTATTATTTTTCTTAACCAAGAATTTATTTTAGATTGTACAAGGTACACTTCTTGAGCAGTTTTTCACTTATTCCCACCTAATCCATATTCTTGTGCCTGATGTAGGTTTCCGCGGGATACACAACCTGGACTATTGAGGGCGAAGAATGCAGCAAAGAAGCTAATTGACCTGGGCTTAGAATTTATTCCCATGGAGCAAATTATTAAGGATTCTGTTGACTGTTTAAAGAGCAAGGGATTTATCTCTTGAATGAAAATCGGATCCAGTACGTCCTGTTGTGTTATTGTACTCCTGCAAGCCATTTTTTGATGGTGTTGTACTCCTATAAGCTATGAAGCAGTATGAACAATCAGACTGGAATGAACTATGAATGTAATAAGTAGTACCATAATATATAAATCACAGTAGGTGATTGTGTAATAAACTGCTTTGCCGAGGCTGATGTGCAAAATTTCGATATTGAGATGGCATAAGCAAGTAGCAACTGCTTCCCTTCAACTCCGCCACCGCAACTTCTCAGGGAATTTAGAAGTTTCTGCTTTGGTAATTTTGCATCCTTCGGATCCAAATAATTGTCTAATTAAGTACTCATTTGGTGTGATTAGAGTTTTTAATAAAAATTTTATTAGAAATAAAACATTATATAAGTATTATTTTTATAAATAAAAAAAATAATGATAAAATATAAATAATGCATTGATTTCATTAAAACCAAATGAAAATCTTATGTAGAAACATGAATTTCTTTCCAATGAAATTGATAAAAAAAATTAATTTGTGAAAAATATTACAATTTTTCATAAATTATAATGTTTGATATAACTAAAGTTTTTAGAGTTTAAAAGAATTTTTAATCAGCCATACCAAATATAGTTTAAAATAATTTACCTTTTTTAAACTTTTTGACATGGGGTGGGTTCAAAACCCGCCTTGATGAAGGGGAAATGCACTTTTCAATGATTTATATCATTGAGCCTTTAGGGTCAAGTGTGTTAGGTTTTATTATTTTTAAATTAATTAGTAATAAAAAAAGTATATTAAGTGTAGTTTAATCTTATACTTGGGCTGATTGGAGAGAACAAAAAAGAAAACTTTTTTGATTAATTAAATTATAATATTTAATATTAATTAACAAAT